ATGGACATTTAGGTTGCTTCCATTTCTTGGCTGTGGTAAATAGTGCTGCAATAAATATAGGGGTGCATATGCTTTTTGAATCTGTGATCCTGCATTCTTAGGGTAAATTCCTAGGAGTGGAACTTGTGGGTCAAATGGTATTTCTACTTTTAGATTTTTGAGGAACCTCTATATTGCTTTCCACAATGGTTGAACTAATTTACATTCCCACCAGCAGTGTAGGAGGGTTCCCCTTTCTCCACATCCTCTCCAACATTTGTAATTGTTTGTATTTTGCATGTTGGCCATGCTAACTGTTGTGAGGTGATATCTCATTGTGGTTTTAATTTGCATTTCTCTGATGATTAGTGATGTGGAACATCTTTTTATGTGCCTGTTGGCTGTCTGAATTTCTTCTTCGGACAAGTGTCTGTTCAGCTCCTCTGCCCATTTTTTAATTGGATTATTTGGTTTTTGTTTGTTGAAGTGCATGAGCTCTTTGTATATTTTGGATGTCAACCTCTTATTGGATATGTCATTTATGAATATATTTTCCCATACTGTAGGATGCCTTTTTGTTCTACTGATGGTGTCCTTTTCAGCAACTGTATTTTTTTTAAGGTGTCTGTCTTCCTCCTGAATTTGTTCCTTAGCTCTTGAGTATTTTTCTGTAGCTCCATTAGCATGCTTATTACTTTTATTTTGAATTCATTTTAGGATGATCGGTGATTTCAGTGTCACTGAATCCTATTTCTGGTGTTTGAGATTTTTTGGATTGAACAAGGTTCTTTTGTCTTTTCATAATCCTATTAGATAGTGAGAAATATTAGGTTTGTTTAGGCAGTGCCCTGTAGTGCCCAGAAGCTCTGTTCTTCAGAGCTGCGCTGTATCTGGAGAGATGGCAGTGGTCACAGGCGAGTGGCGCCAGTGCCTACCCTAAAGAGTGAGGCACAGTGCCTGTTTCCACTGTCAGGGCCAGTGAGTTGCACCCAGGGAGTGGCCTCTAGGTTAATCCCTTAAATTGCTGTGGATAGGCAGCCCTCTGGATGGCCTAGGGTGAAGGTGGGGGTGACAGGTGCGTGGCCCAGATGTCTTCCAGGAGGACAAAGTCCTTTCCTGCTTCCAGGCTGCATTGCCTGACTCTGCTGTTAGGGCCAGTTAGCCACATGCAGGGAAAAGACTCTTGAGTTAAGCTGTGTAGTTGCCGTAGGTGGGGCTTCCCTCCAGCTGGTCTGGAGCAATGGTGGGGACATTGGGTTTGTGTGCAGGTGTGGGTGACAGCGGGGAGGAAGAAGCTGCAGGCTACTTATTGCAGTGAGGGGCCTCGGGGATGCGTTGCCAGCCAGTGGGATGGATTGCCTGAAGCTCCTGAAAGTTCCCAACCTGCTGGGCTGGGTGTGCCAGGATGATTTTGTCCACCTGTTTCTTCTCCTAAACTCTTACCCCTTTAGCAGCCCTCTCACTGTTGGGAAATCTTTCAAAGCACCCACCTTTCTTTTGTCCCAGGGCAGCCTGTTGTGGGAACCTGTTCACAGTCTCAGTCTATGACTTTGGTTTTCAGCCCCAGTTATCTCCAGAGCACCATGCAATGTGGATTTGTGCTCCTGGAATCGATTTCTAGGGCTGGGTACTTAGCAGTCCTGGGCTGCTTCTCCCTCCCCGCTCTGATTCTCTTCCTCATGCTAGTGAGTTGGGGTGAGGGGAGTACTCAGGTCCCGCCAGGTCGCTGCTTTTTTACTTTACGCATATTCCGTGAGATACTCTCTTGTCCCAGATGTAGACTGTCTGGTGTAATCTTATTTCTGGTCATTCTTTTAGGAATAGTTGTTTTGCTGTATTTTAATAATATATCTGGTTTTCAGAGGAGATTTCCGCCTCACTTCATGCCACCATCTTTTTTCATCCATGATGATTTAATTTTCCTCTGAAAGTTTTAGCTCTGAAACAGAAAACAAGGGCATATTTCCTGGAAAAGTGGGGAGAATGATTAATTTTAAACAGATGACCTGATTATTTCCCCCCAAAAAGCAAAAAGAATTGGTTAAAAGATTTTACAATTAATAATAGCAGAGAGAGGGCCAAATATAAAACAAATACATAAAAATCAACCTTTCTCCAATATGTTAGCATTCCAATTAGAAATTTTGGTGGTGGAAGGCAAATAGCTACCAGATTTAAAGGGAACTTATGATGGGTGTCCTCAATGGATTGATATTTGGTATAGATGAATAAAACATTGAACTTCCTGTAATTCTTCTTGAGTTCTTAGGATAAAGCTTATTTGGTCCTGTTGTGTTATTTTCTCATGTTGCATAATCTGTTTTGCCACTATTTTCTTAGATATTTGCATCTTAATCTTTTGTGTGTGGCCTTTTTGTTAGGGTTTAACATTGTGGTTTAGCCAGTTCCCTAAAAAGGTGGGGACTCTTCATCCTTTGTAAGCCCTGGAGAAGGTTATATGGTGAGGCAGTTGTACAGCAAAAGGCTGGATGGTGCTGGGGACTATGCAGTCAGACATTCTTCTTTCAGCCTGGGTTTGTTTCTACCAGCCATGTGACTTTTTGCAAGTTATGTCATTTCTACAGGCTTTGTGTCCTCTTCTGTAAAATGGGCACAGCACTTGTACCTTTGTCAAAGGTGGGAGATAGACAAGTGATTTGGGAGATGAAGGACATCTCTTCTGGAGCTGGCTGCACTCACCACCACTCGTCTCTGTCTCAGCTAGCCCCTCCTTTGCCAGGAACTCCTGGGATCTGGAGTCTCATTCTTTGTCAAGCAGCTTCCATAGTCCTTGGCTCCCAGTTCCATAAGGATATCTTCTATTGTAGGATTTTGTGTACTTGGCAAGTGGGGAGGAAGGTATAATATTGAAGTAAAGGATTATGAGTGATAAAACTGTAAAATAGGCCTTTTTTGTTCTACGGTTTTTTAAACTCCATTAGGGTTTAGCCTAACCAGTCCAATTGCATGATTTCTCAATGTGCAAGCACTGAAAAGATGGTACTTCCAAAATGGTGGGCCTGCCATTGGCTTCCTTGGAAAGACTCTCTTAGTTTTCTGCAGGTGCCTGGAATCCCAGAGTGATTGCCCCACACATTCCCCATGGGACTGGAGAATTCTGCAAGAAAAAAACTTCCTCCAAAATTTTTTTGTAGCTGTTTAAGGGTAGAAGTAGGGGCTATCAGTGGACCCTTTGAAACTTTTCCAGAGTTCAAGGTGTTCTGAAATGTTTTCTCATGCCATCTCATGCTCCCCCACTCTGGGCATCTAAAGCATGTACTTTTGTCTACCACTCATTTGATATTTATTATTGCCTCTTAACCGCTAATAACATTAGTAACAGAAAACCCTCCAGATTTGCTGACTTAGGGTTTGCTGTTTCTCATAGTTGGGGCACAGAAAACCCTCCAGATTTGCTGACTTAGGGTTTGCTGTTTCTCATAGTTGGGGTCTAGCCACCATCAGTGGTTCTCTGGTTACTGCTTGCAGCTCAGCCCCAGCATCACCCTGGCAGAGGCCACACACTGGCTGTTGCCCCCTGGCTCAGAACCCCTTCCCTGGCAGTTCACACAAGCTGTTCAATCATTCAGTGCAATTCACCTAATTGAAACTTTCTTCCTAGTATGATCTCAAGTGTTGAAGGAATGTCAACATCAGGATTTTTGAGAGAGAAAGATTTTTTTTCGTGCATGAGGAAGGAAGTTTTGAAGAAGTCTATGCTTATGGGAATCTCAAACCTGTCTTCTGAAGATGGGTCAAGTGTTCTGTGTTTCTTGTAAGATCCTGGAGACTAATGCCTTGCATATAGCAAATGTAAAACAATCAAATGAACAAAGTAAATAGGAGGGGCTAATTGGGATTTGAAGGGACTATGAGTGCAAATTCTCTGCAGCTGCTGGGCTGAGGCTACTGAATGCTTCTGTAAGACTGTGCAACTGGTTTCCTTTCTTTTGTAAAATAATAAAAAAAAACATTTTTAAAACCATGCTTTCCCTTCTTATCTGGTTTCAAGAATAAAAACTATAATTGTTTCAATGATTACTGTGACTCCATCCTCCCAATATTAACAGTGTTCCCTGGTGAGATCTCTGTCTGCCTCCCCTCTAACACTACCACAAACCAGGAAGCAGGAAGGCACCACCAGATGTTGTAAATGAAGCCCTGATGGGGAGAGATGAGCATGGCCAGAGGAGTGATGGGGGGTGGGGAAGCCAGCTACCAAGGCCCAGCAGGTTATATGCTGCACTGATGCTGGATGCATCAGCCTTTGTTCACTGTTACCCCTCTTCTCCAAACCTCAAAGCCTTTGTTACCCCCAGGAAGCCAGGACTCCTGTTCCTCCCATTTGTCATCTTTTCCCCACTGCTCCATGCTGTAGCCTTTCTCTGCAAAAAACAGGAAGAGCTCTAGGAGAAGCAGAATTGGAGAGAATGGCCACGTTTTTTTCTACCTCGTAAGAAATGAAATGAGAAGGAAGCAAAGGTGAGACAAGGTGTGGTGTGAATTGGTATTCCTGGTAACAAGTAGCCTATAAGCTCTTTGGTAGACTCTCATCTTCCTGCAAGAATAAAAGATAAAAGCCCAAACCGTCTTGAATTGATACACAGCTGGCAGCTCTTTCTGATTACCCACTATGTGTGCCCTTTTCTTATATCCAAAAAAATGTAAAAATAGCCATGGGAATTATCAAGCTGATTTGCACTGTTACATTCCAGGGATTTCATTTCAGAAGCACAGATTTTGAAATTTTCCCAACATGGTCAAGCATGAGTATATGTGAACTTGTGGAGGGAATGAGGTGACTAGGTTTAGCAATAGAATGAGTGTGCCACTCTTCCAGAGTCAAGCTTTATTATTTTATTTTCCATGAAGCCCTGTGACATCACATTATGTCAGGATAGATTCTTCTTACCAGAGCCTCTTTCAGGTGGGTTTGTCAGAACCTTCAAGCTGATCAACAGCACATGGGTGTCTTCTTGCCGACTCTCTGATGCCCGTGTTTTCTCTCCTGTCTCCTTTAGGCGGGGCCCGAAGCACAGCATCATTCTGAGGACACAGCTGTCGGTGAGGGTCCATGCCTGCATCGGTGAGTGGTATCTGCTAAAGGCATGCTTACATCTGCCCTCAGTGATTCAATGGCTGAGAAACATCGCTTAAGCAATAACATGAATGTATCACTGTGCTGTTGACTTGGGTTAACCCTGACCCTGGACTAAGCTTTTAGTGAAGTGATTTCTGGCAAGTTTTAAAGCCCTGTTTCATTCTGACTTCTTTTGCTGTTTGGATAGTGAATGGAGCTGGCAGGAAGAGAGACTGTTGATGAGGTTTTTTCTGGTGATGAGGGAGAGGTGAGGGTCTTTATGGGCTGCACTGGTGTGAACCTCCATCCAAAGTGGCCTTCACTTGCCTCCTGGTGGCTCTGCCAAGCTCCCTGTGGGGAAGTGGGGTCTGAGGCTCCTGGCTTCAGGCAAGGGACTGAAAAGCAATTCTGGAGTCAGGGTACGGTGGGGCACCAAGAGATCTGGTGTTGAGTGGATGTGTTTGTGGTTTAGAATGACTTGTCTGTGGGGTCACAGGAAACCTACTGGGACTACCTCTGCAGCCACTGGTTTTCCTGGATCCATCAGGTTCCCCACCCAGATACATGGGTTGAGTGGCAATGAAGGCAATTACCTGTGCTAAGTAGATAATGTTTATGCTGAACTTGTCTAAAACTGTGGCCCAGTTTCCTTCTGGCATTGAGCCAAGTTGAGGCAAGTGTTTAATATCATAAAAGGAAAAAAGGAACCAAAATTCACTTTATGGAAAGTTTTCCATATCTGAGTAGTTTTGCTTTTACGTAATATACATTGTGGTCTTAATTCAGGCCTCCAATGAGGAACACATATGTTCTTCTGGTGAGGCCCAGTCTATACCTGGCATATGGTATGTGTGGTAGAGGGGAACGAATAATTTCTGGCCCCTTCTCTTCCTCCCTTTTCCTCCACTGGAGACCCAAGGACATGGAGGGGAATCAGTAATTTTACTTAATTTGGTGTTAAGTGTTTGATGCTGCAAGTATCTTAAGTGACAGCCTTTGTCTATGTGGTCAGTGAGTAATTGTGTAGCAGACTTACAAACCTCAGGGTTGGAGGGGTAGGGTGCTGGGAGGGTTTGTAATCTCATTGGAAACAAAATGAGATCTGTAGAATCTTCAGCATTGACTGTTCAATTCTCAACTGCCTATAGCACTGAGTGGCCATAAAATATGTACAGACACTTGATTACATTTAATCAGTTGCTTTTTTTATTACCTGTGTTACTTCTCCAGTTAGTTCATATGTAGAATCATGTCTGTGTGAAGAAAAGGCCTGTGATCTATGATTTTGGATAATCTCTCCACCATCTTCATCCTGGATCTAGAACAAATCCAAGCACACAGCATACGCTCAATACTGTTGAAATGAACATTTGATTGAAATATAGCTGATAGCCAATAGGGATTTGGTGAGTATGAATCAGGATTTCCCTGGTATAGTAATGCAGTGGAGAGCAGATTAACACTAAACTAGGCTAGATAAAAATCCTAATGATCTGCTTTTAAGAAAATTCATTCTTTTCAGTATGTGCTTAAATATTTCAAGTACAGGAGTTCTAACCAGCTTCCATGTTATTGACTCATTGTATTAATTTATGTATTCTGTGGTCTCTTATAGTACATATAAAACACACATCTAATCTTCATGGCATTCTGAGCATAGCAGCCTGTCCAGCCCATTCTCCTAGGATACGCATGTCTTCCTGATTAAGGGGTTGAACAGGGTGCTGACATGATCAGTGGATTTGTTCCCAAACCTCCTTAGGCCAATCACATTTGCCATTAGAATGAAGTAATTTAATGAAATGGTACATGAATACTTTATAAATTGATTAAATACTAGTTATAAAAAGTCACTGCTTTGAAAATTTTGGAAAATATTAAAAAATAGTCACTACAAAAGCATTTTTGTCAACGTAAGTGGGTTGTGTCAACTACAATCGTGGGGAAATGTAAGAATCTAGAGGGATTCTAGTTTTTGGAAGTTTTTTCAGTTCTTGCTTGAGTTCAAAGTAACTGAGTTTTGACATCTTAGACCATATCATTGGAGTGTTTCAGAAGGAAGGTCCACAGTGAATTCCAACTAGACCCTTACTTAAAGAAAGATTGTGGCCCAAAACAGGGTGTGAAGATGCATCTCCTTATGTACTATAAGCCTGGTGACCAACCCTGTCTGCATCACAGGCAAACCGGGGCCATCAGTCACCATAGCTGTAGGTTAGATGTGTATGTATCATTTTTAAAGGATTTTCTGTGTTAATCAGTTTTTAACATTAATTGGCTCAGCCCCACGTATGTTGGATGAAAGGGCTTGACTGTACAAATTAATATTGGTACCTAAGAAGGCACAGTTTTTCCTTTATATTGAAAAATCCTCTTTCTTGTTCCATGTCCTCTTATTGGCAAGGTCTGGAATACATTTATTATAATAGCACTAAATATTATCCTTTGGTTATGTGTAGAAAATGGAATGTATGCATGATGTATATGAAGTACCAACCCCCATTGTGATATATTCTTTCTTTTTCTAAAGGACAATATTAGATGAGATTTCTTTGGAATGAAAAAACTTAAACCTGGAACAATCTTCAGTTGAAATGACAAAAACATGACAAGGTTGGGGGCAGGGAGGAACCCTTCTTCATGTCACTTGGTTGAGTTTGTGTTTCTTTTCAAGGTGATCTCCCTTTTCCCTCATGTAAGAAAGGGTTGGATTGTTGTGGGTGTTGGACGAAGGCAGCTGTTTCAGGCCAAGCACCATATGCAGCTCCTCCAAAGACCGCCCTTCCCACCATGTGACTGGACTGGAAGGATCCAGGATCAGTTTTGGCTCATGGGTTTAAAAATACTATCGACTAAATTTCTCCAAAATAATGTTGTTTTTATTCTCCCTACATTCTCTCCTTCTTCATTCCTGTTTTTATTAAGTGTAGGAATGTTTAGAATTCAGGACTGTATGTTGATAAATTGGAGGTGACATGCCTTTGGAATTCTCTAGTGTTAACTTTGGAATAATGTACCCATTGGGATGAGAGTGGAGTGGAGCCTTCATGGCTAGCAACTGAGCAAACTTCACAAAAAATTAACAATGTGGATTTGTGCTCCTGGAATCGATTTCTAGGGCTGGGTACTTAGCAGTCCTGGGCTGCTTCTCCCTCCCCGCTCTGATTCTCTTCCTCATGCTAGTGAGTTGGGGTGAGGGGAGTACTCAGGTCCCGCCAGGTCGCTGCTTTTTTACTTTACGCATATTCCGTGAGATACTCTCTTGTCCCAGATGTAGACTGTCTGGTGTAATCTTATTTCTGGTCATTCTTTTAGGAATAGTTGTTTTGCTGTATTTTAATAATATATCTGGTTTTCAGAGGAGATTTCCGCCTCACTTCATGCCACCATCTTTTTTCATCCATGATGATTTAATTTTCCTCTGAAAGTTTTAGCTCTGAAACAGAAAACAAGGGCATATTTCCTGGAAAAGTGGGGAGAATGATTAATTTTAAACAGATGACCTGATTATTTCCCCCCAAAAAGCAAAAAGAATTGGTTAAAAGATTTTACAATTAATAATAGCAGAGAGAGGGCCAAATATAAAACAAATACATAAAAATCAACCTTTCTCCAATATGTTAGCATTCCAATTAGAAATTTTGGTGGTGGAAGGCAAATAGCTACCAGATTTAAAGGGAACTTATGATGGGTGTCCTCAATGGATTGATATTTGGTATAGATGAATAAAACATTGAACTTCCTGTAATTCTTCTTGAGTTCTTAGGATAAAGCTTATTTGGTCCTGTTGTGTTATTTTCTCATGTTGCATAATCTGTTTTGCCACTATTTTCTTAGATATTTGCATCTTAATCTTTTGTGTGTGGCCTTTTTGTTAGGGTTTAACATTGTGGTTTAGCCAGTTCCCTAAAAAGGTGGGGACTCTTCATCCTTTGTAAGCCCTGGAGAAGGTTATATGGTGAGGCAGTTGTACAGCAAAAGGCTGGATGGTGCTGGGGACTATGCAGTCAGACATTCTTCTTTCAGCCTGGGTTTGTTTCTACCAGCCATGTGACTTTTTGCAAGTTATGTCATTTCTACAGGCTTTGTGTCCTCTTCTGTAAAATGGGCACAGCACTTGTACCTTTGTCAAAGGTGGGAGATAGACAAGTGATTTGGGAGATGAAGGACATCTCTTCTGGAGCTGGCTGCACTCACCACCACTCGTCTCTGTCTCAGCTAGCCCCTCCTTTGCCAGGAACTCCTGGGATCTGGAGTCTCATTCTTTGTCAAGCAGCTTCCATAGTCCTTGGCTCCCAGTTCCATAAGGATATCTTCTATTGTAGGATTTTGTGTACTTGGCAAGTGGGGAGGAAGGTATAATATTGAAGTAAAGGATTATGAGTGATAAAACTGTAAAATAGGCCTTTTTTGTTCTACGGTTTTTTAAACTCCATTAGGGTTTAGCCTAACCAGTCCAATTGCATGATTTCTCAATGTGCAAGCACTGAAAAGATGGTACTTCCAAAATGGTGGGCCTGCCATTGGCTTCCTTGGAAAGACTCTCTTAGTTTTCTGCAGGTGCCTGGAATCCCAGAGTGATTGCCCCACACATTCCCCATGGGACTGGAGAATTCTGCAAGAAAAAAACTTCCTCCAAAATTTTTTTGTAGCTGTTTAAGGGTAGAAGTAGGGGCTATCAGTGGACCCTTTGAAACTTTTCCAGAGTTCAAGGTGTTCTGAAATGTTTTCTCATGCCATCTCATGCTCCCCCACTCTGGGCATCTAAAGCATGTACTTTTGTCTACCACTCATTTGATATTTATTATTGCCTCTTAACCGCTAATAACATTAGTAACAGAAAACCCTCCAGATTTGCTGACTTAGGGTTTGCTGTTTCTCATAGTTGGGGCACAGAAAACCCTCCAGATTTGCTGACTTAGGGTTTGCTGTTTCTCATAGTTGGGGTCTAGCCACCATCAGTGGTTCTCTGGTTACTGCTTGCAGCTCAGCCCCAGCATCACCCT